TTACTTTAAAAATATGTATATGTCTATTTAAGATCAAAGGGTGAACAGCTATTTCATAGATGAGAAGGTTGAGGGGCAGGGAGATTAAGTAAATGGAAATGAAACAACTGGAACAGAAATAAAGAGAATGAAGAACATAACTAATGTCACTGATCATTATGTCTAGAAACTCTGGAATGGGAGCAGGTTTGCTGTGTATAGTTTCACTAAAAAAAAAAAAAAAGTGTGTTTTAGGCACTTAGCACCAGATAAGCCATATCCTACGTTTACATCAGGAGGATATCACTTTGGACAAATCTGCTGCAAAAGCCCTCTTTAAAGTGTTGAAAAGCAAGGATGTTACTTTGAGGACTAGGGTGCACCCTACCCAAGCTATGGTATTTTCAATCTCCTCATATGCATATGAAACCTGGACAATGAACAAGGAAGACCAAAGAAGAATTCATGCCTCTGAATTATGGTGTTGGCGAAGAATATTGAATATACCATGGACTGCCAGAAGAACTAACAAATCTGCCTTGGAATAAATATAGCCAGAATGCTCCTTAGAAGCAAGGTTGGAGAGATTTTGTCTCAAGTACTTTGGGCATGTTATCAGGAGGGACCAGTTCCTGAGGACATCATGTTTGGTAAAGTAGAGGGTCAACAAAAAAGAGGAAGACCCTCGATGAGATGGATTGACACAGTGGATGCAACAATGGGCGCAAGCATAGCAATGATAGTGAGGATGGTGCAGGACCGGGCAGTGTTTCGTTCTGTTGTACACAGGATTGCTATGAGTCAGAACCGACTTGACGGCACCTAACAACAACAAAAACAACAACAGCATATCAAGAGGAATTGAGAGAACAGGGCCCATCAGCCTGGAGAAAGTAAGACATAATGGCCATCTTCAAATATCTGAAGGAAATAGGGACTAGATGTGCTCTGCGTAACTCCAAGTGGGAAAGGAAAGACAATCACCAAGATCTCAGCTAAGCCTAGAGAGTAACTTCTAACACCCAGTTGTCTTGAACCAGAAAGTCTACATCGAGAGGCAGTGAAGTGTTCAGGCAATAGGCAAAATGGCCACTTGGTGTGGATATTACAGAGAGAATTCCTGTTTTAGATGTGAGGTGACTGCTTCAAATTCTCTTCTAAACTCAGGAGACACCGATTCTAAGAAAGGGCACATTCTAGGATTCTCAACAATTTATTTTCCCCAGGTTGGGAAACCCTCTCTTTTGGATAAGATATCTTGTCTTCACTCTCACTCATCTGTCTATTTGTCATACTGTGGTGGCTTGCATGTTGCTAGGATGCTGGAAGTTATGCAACAGGTATTTCAAATACCAGCAGGATCACTCATCACGGACAGGTTTCAGTGGAGCTTTCAGACTAAGAGAGATTGGTGGCCTACTTCCAAAAATTAGCTTATGAAAACCCTATGGATCACAACAGAATATTGTCCAATATAGTGCTGGAGATTAGCTTCCTAGGTTGGAAGTCACTCAAAACACACAGTGGACACAACAGTGGACTTGAGTATACCAATGATCATGAAGATGGTGGAGGACCAGCCAGTGTTTCATTCTGTTGTACATAGGGTCACTATTATGACTCAACGGCACCTAACAACAACCTTGGAAAGCTGAGAGCAAGCCTGCCAGAAATGGGATGTTAGCCAAGCAAGGATGGCCTCAAGGATAGCTCTAGTACGAAAGGATGGAGACGAACAGGGAGACACACTTAGCTCAATCAGAGGAAGTCCTCATTCACAGGTGGAGCTGCTTTTGGGTGGACTAGGACATTGATATCCTTCAATCCAAGGAATTAGGACATCAAGTCTCAGATGGGTTGAACTAGTTCTCATCTGGAAACCCTACAGTTCCTTGTCGGTATCCCCCATTTGGTAAAAGCCTTCCTTTCCACCACCATCCACCCCTACTAGTCACTGCTGTTGTGGGAGATACCCATAGGAGACCTAGGCTATTAGCTAGGCAAGATCAGGAACTGAGTCCATATTATTTGCTGCTGAACTCTCCCCTGCCACATGGAAAGCACTCGATAAAGACTTGTTCCCTCATTTACCATTCAACAAACATTCATTCAGTATGTGCAATGTGCAAGGCACTAGGCTAGGCGTTTGGTGCACAATGGGGAAAAAAATCCAACATGGATGTGATCCCTGTTCCCATGAAGCTCATGATCTAATAGGGGAGACAAGAAATTTTTTAAAAACTAAATGAATTAAGTACATAATTATGAATTGAGCTAAGTACAATGAAGGGGATGAATAAGGTGGTGATAGAAGATAGGCTGGGTAGTGAGGGAAGTCCTCTCTGAGCAGGTGACATTTAAGCAGATGTGTGGAGGACAAGAAGAGGACATGAAGAACTGCATGAAGAAATGGACGAGTGAGATGGAGCTTGGCAAGAACCTTTTCCTCTGCCTGTGGGCCAAGGGCGAGAAGGGACAGTGAGTGTCCTGACAATGAGAAAAGCAGCCGCCATCACTGAGTACCCGTTAGCGCCAGGCACAATACAGGAATGATGCCGTTCAATTTTCCAAACAACCCTAGGAAGCAGGATTCGCTCCCCCATTTTTACAGAGGAGAAAACCGAGGCTCAGGAGGGGCAGACCACAGCTAGTAAATGGCAGAGCCCAAATTCAATTCATCGGTTCATGAGACTTATGTTCTTAATATTGTGCACCTCCCTCCATATCAGGGAGCATCCTTACCTGAACTTTCACATACCGCAGCTTTTGCTTAAGACTTTTGCCCTCTCCTTGGGAGCCCCTGGGCTGAGCAAGTATAGACAGTACAGAACTAGCTGGAAAGCCATGTGGTCTGCCCCAGGAGAGGAGTAGTGTCATCGCAGGCGGCGTGCTCCAGGCAGGAGGCCCACGTGGCTGTGTTAGGCCTGGCCACAACGTGGGCCAGCACTGCTCAGAAAAGAACCGCAGCAAGTCTGCACCCCCGCCTGGCCAGCCAGTGGGTACCTGAGCAAGCCTGACAGAATCCTCCAGCTGACAGGGGAAGGGAGGGCGCGTGTGGAGGGAAGGAGAAAGATCTGGGGCGGGGAGGGGGGAGCTAGGGAATTCTGGATCCTCACCCCTAACTTCCTGGCATGGATCCAGCAATATCTTCCTATTCAGGCGTCCATGGGGCTGGGAGGGTGGACAGAGGTGCCATCACCCCACATGCGACCCTCCTAACCATCTCGTCATCCTCACAGCCTCACAGTGTGGTTCTCTCTGCTACCCACCTGGTCTCCCCTGGGTCCTGAGGCAGCACCTCAAGGATCTACCTGAGACAGGCTGATCTGAGGCCAGAAGCTGGTTTCTGACTCCCGTCTAAGGCACTGTTGTTCTTGGTTGCCGACGGGTCGATTCTGACTCATGGGGCCCCATGTGTTCCAGAGTAGAACTGCTCTGTAGGGTTTTCTTGGCTGCGGTGTAGTGGTTAAGAGTTACGGCTGCTAACCGAAAGGTCGGCAGTTCGAATCCACCAGGTGTTCCTTGGAAACCCTATGGGGCAGTTCTACTCTGCCCTATAGGGTCACTATGAGTTAGAATCAACTCGACGGCAGTGGGTTTGGGTTTGGTTTTGGTTAATCTTTCCAGAAACAGATCGCCAGGCCTTTTCCTCCACAATACCGCTGGGTAGGTTCAAACTGCCAACCTTTAGGTTAGCAGTCAAGTGCAAACTTTTTGTGTCACCCAGGGACCCTGTCTAAGGCTCTACAGACCTTCTTACATGACATACTGCTGGGTCCATTTCCTCCCAGGCCCTAACTCCCCCATACTCTTCCATAACTTGAGAGCCTCACCCTCGCCTCCTGCCTGCTCCTTACCACTTGTTAACTTCAGCAAGTATTTTGGGACAAGTCTATATTCCGCCTGGCACTTTATTTTATACTACCTCCTATTGTTCTTTATTCCTCCCCTGTTTAAAAAATGATCACCGCCAGCATTTAGCAAGCTCCTTCTAGCGTGCCAGGCAGGACGTGCTAAGTGCCTTCCTTTGGTGCTTCGATTATTATTTTACAGTTAAGGGAAGGGAGGCCTAGAGAGATGAAGTTGCCCACCTATGATGACATAGTAAGTGGGGGAGATGAGATTTGATTTCAGAACAGGTCATACGGCCTCAGTGAGAATTTTCTTATCTCTCCAGCTATGCCTATGCCCAGCCTTTATAAGATTCTGCATCCTTTACACACAGGCGCTGAACACATCCCTTGTCACACAGTAAGTAGCAATAGATATTGGCCGTTATTAATTATCGTTGTTGTTCTCTCTACCGGGGTTATCGCTCCTCTGGCAAGACCAAAGCACTTCCCATCTGGAATGTCTCCCTCTAGCTGCATGCTGCTTCTCTACCTAACACTTCAGGCTGGCTTAGATGGAGAGATACAGGAGTCCACGGACATGGACATAATCAGTGATGCCTCCCCCTTCCAAAGTCCATCATCCAAACCCCACAGGTCACCTGGCCACCTGGCTTTACACACGCACACACACACACACACATACACACACACACACACTCCTGAGCCATAAGCTCATTCAGCAGACACACCACAGGCTGGTAAAGCAGAAGAGAAGGGCTTTCCTGGGAGCTAGGGCTTTTGCTATTTACAGATCGAATTCTGTCAGTTATTATCCAAGTGATGTTGTCTCTCCAGAGGTGGAGCTGTCATTTAATAAACAGTATGTGTGTTTGTGTTTGAGTATGTGCATGTGTTATACGTGCAGGGGTTATGTGTGGGGGGTGGAGGGAACAGTCAGAGAGGAAGTGCCCTGGTATTTATAACTGATTGCAAACCAGTTTAAACTACCCACTGGGAATACGTGCCTATATGAGTACGCTTAATCCCTGCTCATTCGAAGAGTGCCGGGCTGTTCTCTGCCCCTCCCTTCTTGCCTCTCCATTCATATAACTCAGGCCCCTTCTGGCCAGCCTTTGCCCACTGGACTGGCTCGTCCTGAGCACGTGGAGGTGCAGTCGGTGGCTGAGAATGAGCACTTTCTTCTCTGAGATAGCAGCGTGGCTGTGCCTGGCTGTCACCACAGTGCTGGGGGGAATGCTTCTTTGCAAACTCAAGAATAGCCCGGGGCAGGTGGGAAGCAGGGCCATCTGCCTGATGGGCCTCTGGGGAGGCATTTGCCTGCTCAGCTTGTCCCTGTACTGGGGCTTGGCTGTCTTCTCTTTGTCCTGTTCTCTCACTTATGCATACTTATCTGGCCAAGAGATGTTACTCGTGGATCAGAAGGCAGTCCTGATCACAGGTAAGCGGACGGCACTGCAAGTCTTAACGGGGGCAGAATCTGGCACTTGGGTTTGCCTTAGCGGGATTTTGTCAAAGGGGGCTTAAATATCAAATGCGGGGCATGGTGTGCATGGAAGCACACACCCAAGTGATTTTCCTGGCATTGCTTAGGTTCATTTTCTCCAGGAGGTTCATGTGAACGGGCTGACGGTAAGAGTGGAGGGCATGATGAAATTTCCCTAAGCAATGATTTTGCTCATTTCCCAGGCATAAATATGAGTAAGTAAAACTGTGGTATTCTGTATGTTTCATTTTACCCAGGAAAGCCCTGTAGGTTTCTTCAGGCTTAAATATAATTTTGTTCTGAGATAAATTCTGGGCCGGGCTCTAGACCTGGGCTCTTATTCCCTAGCTGTGAGAGGAAGTTGCACAAAGCCAGGCTCTCCTTGTGCCTTGCTGTGTTTCTTGTATATCGCAGGCTCTCACTTGGGCTGGAAACTTTGCAGTTTGCTTCGCTGCTGGGGACAGCCTGGTGTCCTGTCTGAGCCCTTCCTCTCCGAGTCTATCATTGGACTTCTAGTGTTTGTTAATTGGGTCAAGCTGGCGGTGCTTCTGGAATCCAGTTGCTTGTTTGCTGGGCTGCCAAGTTTTCCCTTCTTTTGTGCTTTTTAGCTGCAAGTGTGAGGCCAGACTAAATTCCTTTGAGTTGTAAAACTGGTTTGCTTTGTTGTGAGGAGTTTGAGCTTGGGTAGACTTTAATTAGGATTACCTGGCCAAGGTATGGTCATTGACTGCAGAATTTTTGGCCGGGAGGTCGTCACCCCTGGCTGTGCGTTTCTGGGGTAAAGACAGACACGGGATGTGGATGGGGGCAAAGCAGGGTGTTTCAACAATACACGGAGAAATAGACTCTAAAGGGACTGTTTCTATTTTGCGTTTACTTTAACCCATTAACAAAAGCCTTTCTTGAAATAAAATGCAAGTTGACGCTTGTTAGGTTTTTTTTTGAAAGCTGTGGAAAACAAGCTTCCTTAATAATAATTAAAAAAAAAAACAAGAGAGTTCAAAGGTAGAAGATGCGGTCAATCATGGGATGTTTATCTCCGTGAACATCTGGCATCACCCAAATCCAGAAGACTGGCTGGGTTTTCCACTTTTTCAGTAGAATTGGTAGATGTCCCATGGGCTGGGTGCAATGCTGTGACAACAGTCTCCAACAGGGGTGGATTATCCGATAAGCAAGGTAAGCACAGGCTTGCTTGTGCTTACTTACCAATCTGTAGTGAACAATTTCACCTGGGTTTTCCCTGTGGTGTAATTGTTCACTATAGATTAGTAAATAAGCACAAGTAAACCCGTGCTTGTCTTGCTTACTGGGTCATCTGCCCCTGTCAGGAATTGTAAACTTGTAAAGAGGCTTTGATTCTGTAGGAAGATGCTGTGGGGTTGGGAGAGAGACAGATGCCAGCCATACCTAGAAGCAGAATCTTTGATGTGGTGGGAAAATGTGGAATTTTTCACTACAGATGATCTGGTAAGCAAGGTAAGCACTGTGCTTACCTTGCTTATTGGATAATCTGCCTCTGGTCTCAATTGTTCTGTTAGCTGTACATTAGCAAGCACTTGTGTCTTCAGGATAATTCCAGGCCAAATTTGCTTTTTTTGTGCCTTTTCCATTTGCATGAGAGAAGACAGAACTGTTAAGTGTGTTAAAAAAATAATAGTAATGTCGTGGTCGACACTATTGGGATGTGATCTCCTGGAGGTTCAAATATGCCTGGGAAATCAATTTCAGGGAGCAGCACTTCTAAGGTTAATAAATGGGAATGCTAAACCTTAGGATAAACCCAGGCAAATCTCAGGGTCACCTGGAGAAAATAGGAATACTTTCATACTTACTTGCCTCATCAGCATTGTTTACCCTTGGCTTTTAAAGATGAAGGCATGTGTAAATGTTCACAAAATACACACCCAAGTCAGAGTGAGCCCACAGCAGCCACTGAAATGTACTGAACTGTGTTTACTGTCACGTAAGATGACTGATTAATTAGGCAATTCAAGCGTAACGACTAATTCCTAACTGAAGTGCTTCACTCCTAGAAAACTTAGGTAACTCCGTATATTAAAGGGTGACTAAATGTCATTTTCAGGTTCTTTCTTGTTGTCACAAGGAATGCCATCAGTTCAATGGAATTCTACAGAAGGTTTCAAGGCCTTTGTACTAATGGAAAAATTTTGAATGAACTTGTTTGGTTAGACCAGAACTCATTAAACAAGAAACAACGTGGACTTGGAATAACCTTTGTTTCAAGTTGGCTTATGTTTATAAATTGGTGCACATTTTTTGGGGGGTAAGGGTGGGGGAAGTAATTTGGTCGAATATATCAAAATCCATAAATATTTCTTTACCCCAGATCAGCCCAAAGGACTAAGGGACCACATCTACCACAGCCTCCACCAGACCGAGTCCAGTACAGCCAGATGGTGCCTGGCTACCACCACTGACTGCTCGGACAGGGATCACAACAGAGGGTCCCAGACAGAGCTGGAGAAAAATATAGAACAAAATTCTAACTCACAAAAAAAGACCAGACTTATTGGCTTGACAGAGACTGGAGAAACCCTGAGAGTATGGCCCCCGGAAACCCTTTTAGCTCAGTAATGAAGTCACTCCCAAGGCTCACCCTTCAGCCAAAGATTAGGCCCATAAAACAAAATGAGACTAATGGGGCACAACAGCCCAGGATAAGGACTAGAAGGCAAGAGGGGACGGGAAAGCTGGTAATAGGGAACCCAAGGTTGAGAAGGGACAGTGCTGACATGTCGTGGCGTTGTTAACCATTGTCATAAAACAATATGTGTACTAACAGTTTAATGAGAAACTATTTGTTCTGTAAACCTTCATCTAAAGTACAGTAAAAAAAAAAAAAAAAAGACTTCATCTAAAGTACAATAAAAAAAAGAATGATGTCAAAAAGAAAAAATATTTCTTTACCCAGTAATTCTAGTTCTGGAAATGTCTCTTAAAGATATAATCTAAAATATGGAAAAAGTAAGAGGGAGTGGCATGCAAAACAAAATGGCATATTCTCAAGGTTGTTCAGGATAATCTTATTATTAAAGATAACGAAATATCAAGAGCAACGAAAATGGTTATAAATTACAGTATATCCTCTGGGTGCACCAATGTGCATTAAAAATGCCATCCATGGGACTGTGTTACAACATGGAAAACTGCTTGGGCTAAGTGTTTGAACAAGAGTGCAACCCTGTCAACTGCGTAGAAAAAACACTGGAAGGAAATAGTTTTTAAATACGTGGATGCTTTTTCTCTCTAGTTTTTCAAGTTTTTCTAGTGTGATTATATTAATTATAATAAAATACAAGAGAGATAACATTAAAAGAATAAAGTCCATTTTAGTTTATATTTAATTATGGACCAATTCCCAGAAAAAGTCCAAAACAATTTATTTTATTTTATTTATTTTCCTTTGAGTCCTTATTTTGCTAAGATGCAAAGGGGGAAGAAAATGAAAAAGAGCATGCAATTGTTAGGTCATCAAGTGAGGGGAGATCAAAAAGGCTCATTTTCATTGACCTTTGACCCATAGTCTCTGGAGTTCCTTCCTCCTCTGAACCTCATTTGGAGATGCAAAGGTTACTTTCATTTTCTATATCCAGGCTTTTTCCTCCTGGCCTCACCAGTCATTCTGACCCATCTCTAGCAATAACTACTGATTCAGATCTACTGTGTACAGGGCCCACATCTAGGGGTTTCGCGTCTGGTGGGGAGACACAGCTATCACCTAACTACAGCTGTGCAATGGGACACAAGAGAGGCCTCCCAGGAAGATTTCACAAAATGCCCAGAGTGGGTGTCGCTCCTATGTGAGGGGGCTGGGAAGGCTTGACAAAGAGGGTTTTGTTAAGAATCAAAAAGTAGCTTTCAAGGAAGAAAAAAAAAACCCAAACCATATCTGTTGCCTTCCAGTTAATTCCAACTCAGAGCGCCCCTATAGGACAGAGTAGAACTGTACCATAGGGTTTTCAAGGCTGTAATCTTTACAGAAGTAGACAGTTGCATCTTTCTCGCACCTAATCACTGCACCACCATGGGAACGTATTCCAGGCTAACTGATTGACTAGCTATACAGCTCGTTGTTGTTGTTATTGTTGTCAGCTCTGATTTATGGTGACTCTATGTATAACTGGACGAAACTTTGTCCAGTCCTACACCATCTTCATGATCGTTGGTAAGTTTGAGTCCATTGTTTCGGCTATTGTGTCGATTCATCTCATTGAGGGTTTCCCTCGTTTTCATTGGCTCTCTATTTTACCGAACTTGATATCCTTTTCTGGTCATTGGTCTTTCCTGATGTATACAGCTGGCACTCAATAAACCTTGTTGAGTTGGATAATTTTTTTTTTGTTGGAATTTTCAAAACTGGATACAATAAAGGGTGGATCAGGGAGGGGAAGTGGGGGAGTCTCTTTTAGGTTGAGGTCTTTATTTTATGCTCGCAAATAAGGGTCCAAGATGGATGGTGATCCCTTCTGGGAGTTATTAAATAGTCCAATTAGGGTTCTAAAGTTGGATACCATTGGCATCATTTTGGGATTTGGACTCCTTCAGATTTAGCATTAGATTATTGAAATGGATGAACATTGACAGCGGAAGACAGACTAAGAGAAATAATCTCTCTGTTCAGAGCTTTACACACAATTTTTATATAATCCTCACTGTCCTAATAACTTACACTTTGTGAATGAGGAAACTATGTGTCCAAAGTCACAGAGTTAATAAGTAGCAGAGATGAGTGGGACTAAATCTAGATCAGATCCACCTGCCACCAAAAGCCTGCTTTTAAGTACTATCATTAGCAGTGTTAGAGCCATAACTACTATTTGCCCAGGAATAGGAGTGGACAGGGATAGAATGTTTGAAGAGAGTGATGATTTGAGAGATGTGATATGGTGAGTTTGACTTCAAGTTTGAGTCTGACAGCAATGAAGGGTGGT